CTGGACCTATATCTCACTCCTCTATTCAGCTGATGAATATGGAGAGCTAGGAGCGGAGGCATTCAAAAAGGTTTTTCAAAAGCATCGCCCATCAAAACAAGAGAATTTCCAGGAAGCACGCAAAGAAAACATTTGCATAGCGACCGAAGAACGTGTGCTGAATAAAAAGGAGAGCATCAGCGAGTCTATCGACAATCTCATCAAAAAGTGTGTCTTATTGCGTCGGCGAATGCTGTTGTTAGATTGCAACCTGAGAAGAAGGTCGGGGCACGGGTCGTCGTATTGTTTGTTGGGACAGAATATGTGGCTGAGTTGATGAATCAGGCCGCTGAGAAAATGAAGCTTCAGAAGAATGCTGGGAAGAAAAAGTTGATATGGTTTGTGAGAATGATTTTGAGGTGGACGAGTGTTTTTAGGTTGGCTTCTGAGGGCTGGGATCGGAATAACGAGGCTTACATCCAAGGGCAAAGGAAGTTGGCAGCGCAGGGAGCAATTGTGTTGATGTTGTCATCACAAAGAGTGCCATCTTTTGAAGACGTAAGCAATTACTTGACAAATAGTACAATTCCTTAAGTATTTCCTGAAGCTTCATCCTGGTTCCGAGCAATTTGAGCGCAACAAATGGCTGCGAGAGTTGTGGATGAGCAAATTTGATTGTGAATTTGATTTACCCGATCAGTCGACCAGGAATCGGTTAGTTATTGTCGCTTTATTATTGTGTACTATTAAATTGCTATTCTTTTTCATAACCATCTTTTAGTTGTGAAGATCAACGCAATACCCCTGACAGCTTCACAGCCGATGATAAAGTCCAATATGTTATCGACGCTGTCTACGCCCTCGCCCATGCACTCAGGGTCCCAAAACGATTCTTATAGAAAAGTACCCTACATTTTAGAGCTACAAAGACGAGGTGTGCCCGGAGGAGAATGTGGAAAACAATTGGGTCAGCCGGAAAGATGATCGCCGAGAAGCGTGTGTCGGCATGGAAAATATTGACGGTGGCCGTCTCTATCATCATTTACTCAAAGTGAAATTTGATGGTGAGATCCCAATACTCGGGTATCTAATGATACTTCAGACCTTGTCGGCAAAAAGGTCCATTTCACGAAAGAAGGTGATGGTCCTGCGAGCTATACAATTTTGAATTATCAACCTGCCAGCATGAGTGATAAGCAACGGCGTGACAAGTATGAGCCATCCGCGTATTTCCTGACGGATCCCGCTTTTAGAATGGATCTCGACACCTTCCGCTCGGATTACGTCGAAATTGGAAGTTGGAGCGAGGGACAGGTATCATTTTTCAGGGATCCCAAAGAGCAACGGCAAACAAAATGCGCTACTTTTTGCGCTAGGAGGAATTTGAGGGATCCAACTTTCACGAATATTTGCAGCTTGAAATCCAACGGTCAAAGCTGGATTGGGGAGATGATGTGCCGTTATCGATTTGTTCGATGCCATGTCAGAAGGGATATAGGAAACAGTTGATCAAGGTATAGAAAGTGGGGTGTGTTTAGTAGGATGAATGTGTAGGATGAAATTTGCTGTTGGGCCTGTAGTAAATGCGAAGATTATGAATATCTGGTGAATGAGACATTTTGCTTGGACTGTGGTCCTGGATGGTGGCCAAATGCTGACCGCAAGGTATTGCTATTACTCTCAAAAAAATAAGATACGTTTCAGAGTTGCTTTAACATTGCTGAGCGGAATCTAAAGCATATGAAGTGGAGGTCATGGTATAGCATTGTTCCGGCTATTTTCGCCAGTCTTGGCATTGGAACGTGTATCTTTATTATTCTTGTTTTCATGAAGTAAGTTTGAGAAAAATACTTAGCATACAAATATGAAATTTTTTCAATACAATTACACTTTCTTGCGTTTCCAGGCACAACGATACCCCGGTTGTAAAAGCTTCGGGCCGGGAGCTTTGCTATATCCTTTTGATTGCCATGATAATGTGCTATATGATGACGTTTGTGCTTTTGGCTCGTCCGGTGACGTGGGTCTGCGGATTGAAGCGGACCGGTTGGTTTTGATCAAACTTCAAATCCTTAAATATCCTACTATATATAAAAAAATAGTGTCTGTGTGTCTGTGTGTGTGTGTGTGTGTGTGCCACTTTGAATCCACTTCCGTCTGTCTGTCCGGAGGATATCTCAAGAAGGGACGGGTATTAGGCTACGTATGATACGTCATTAGATGCGTAATGGTCTAGGGATGACTGCACACTAATCAGATTTTTACAAATTAGCCATTTTCGCTATTAAATTTAAGTTTTTGTAAAATCCTGTTTGTTAGGAATAATTAGCATAGAGCGGAAGTGGGTGGTCGCCTATATAAAGAGGCAGAAAGCGTTGTTTTCATTTTTTGTCTTCTGATTGAATGGAGGAATAGAAAAAGGGCAGAATAGTATTTTGGGGTCCGAGAGAGTGGGTTGTTGAAAGAAGGGCTTTTCAACCCTGGTTCTGATTAAATTTCCGAATTTTCAGGCATCGGTTTTGCCTTCTCATGTCTCTATTCAGCAATGTTGGTGAAGACCAACCGGATAGCTAGGATATTTTCACAGGTGGGCTATAAAAGCTATCCCAGCGTTTTCAAAACCAAACTTCTAGGCCACCCGATCAGCCGTTAGGCCCGGGTGTATATCCCCCATTTCTCAAGTGCTGCTCACTTGCTTCTTGGCAGGGTTGCAGTTACTTGGCAGTTTATGTTGGCTGGCCATTGTTCCACCTGGTTGGTACAATACTTTCTAACAGTCATTTAGCAATTTGTGGCCCTAATTACAGCTATTTAATTTAAGGAACACGCCACATCTACCCAACCCGTGACCAAGTTGTGCTCACCTGTAATGTTCCTGATCATCATTTTCTGTATTCATTGGCATATGATGCGGGTCTCATTGTGCTCACTACCGTATATGCTGTTCAAACAAGAAAGGTAGCTTAGGCAATATATCTTTAGTTCCAATTTACATCTAGGTCCCTGAAAATTTTAATGAAACCAAGTGGATCGCGTTTTCTATGTACACGACATGTGTACTTTGGGTCTCATGGATCTTCTTCTTCTTTGGCACGGGTACAGATTACCAGGTGGTTCCTAAGTTTAGCTCTAACCTGTCGACTCCAGATCCAAACGTCGTCGCTCTGTATTTCGATCTCGATGTCTGCAAATGTTGTTCTGGTGTGCATTTTTTCGCCAAAACTCTGGATCATCCTCGTCGACAAGCATAAAAACGTGCGGAAGCAGGATGGAGAATATATGCTTGCGAAGAGGTAAAGAAGCACTTATGGGCATTGACGTTTCGCTTATCACTTATTTAAGCCATGCTATTTAAGTTCAGGCAGCCATAATTCAATTTTAAAAATGTTTTGTGATGTGCGCTAAAATTTGGACATTGCCCTCATGCCAAAAATCCTTCCAGCCAAGCATCAACACGATTTTGATGTCCCCCTCATAAAGCGGTATCATTTTTAGGGAACCGGTGGTGGCGAGTACCGGCGAGTGAACTAACTGTCTTTTAAGCTTGAGTTACCCTATTGTTTCTGTCCATTCTTCCAATCTTCAAATGGCAAAACTTTAAAGAGCGTCTCTGTCCTCAAAAAATCGTGCTGCGCCTTGTGGCCCTGTCTATAATTAGTAGCATGAAACAATGGCTTCAGATCAAATACTTCGAACATACACGGACCGGCGCTGCAGAACACGTAAAGCTTTCTCTGTGGTTCTTTTTTTGCTCGGACACTAGCGCTTCCGGGCCTTTCCTCTTACAGCTTCTCTGGCTTTTCTCCCCCAGCTTGCTTGAGTGCTGAGTGTTTTCTAACCTGGATTTTTAGGAATACACTCTCTGGAGTTCACGGTGAAGCCGAGCCAACACCCTATACTGCGCTACTGGGGAATGACAAGCGAAAAACATCACGTCGGATCACACCACCATCCTGTACTAACAGCTCAGCTCAAGATACTTTTCTGTAATTCAAAATTTTTTTTTTTTTGTTCAGAATTAGGGAGGGTTTCGGTGGTCGCGAAGGGCCATTGGACTATAATCTCTGTTATGATTTCCGGTAATCTCGAATTCAATTGCCATCATCCAATTTCCGGTGCTCAATCTCTAGTCTAATTCTCACTCATGCAATATCCCGTGGAAATATATGCCATTAATTATGTTCGGTTCGCACAAAGGGTATCTTTCACTTATTTTGGGAATGTTTTTTTTTGTTTGATCGTGGTTTTGATTTTTTGCAGTGGTAGTGTGTAGTGAATAAATTATTGTGTTTGGACTGTTCGAACGGAAAAGTGCCGTAAAGAACCTAAAGAGATAACTTGAAAATTGTAGCTTAGAGTATCCCTTGATCCCGGTTCTGGGTAGTTTGCATTGAAATGTACCTCTCAACAACTCTTAATATTCACTTTTTATTTTTCAACGTCGAAAGAAATCACTTTGCACAACGGGGGGCATTGGGAAGGGAGTATTTATAAGACCTGAATAGCTAAACTGTATTAAGCGAAGGAGAAACGGGGGGTAAAACATACACGCATTCTTCATTTTTTCCTTCTTTACGAACGGTTCACACGGTTTTTGTGGGGGGGAGGGGTTGGGCGTGGAGGGTAAGCACACGTCGGGTTGCGAGTAAAATGGACAAGACACAATATAGGCCACCGATTGCAAGAGATTGGGTAAGGCAAAAGCGCGCGTGTACGGACATTTTAAGCTGCGGGAAAGTATCGGAATAAATGGATGGGGTGCTTGAGAACGGTGACCAGAATGATGATGCAAATTGCCAAAAAAAAAAGTAAGGATGGGGCGGTGGGCGGAAAGTTGTTGGAAGACCGAGATTCTAGACCCTAGAGCAGCTAGCACTAGTCAAAGTTGTTTTTCAGCTACGATATACAGCGCCCAAAGATTCCCCAACCTTTGATTAATGAAAATTTAGAGGGGAAACAATGATAATCACAATATATACGAAGATACATGCATGACTGGAAATGCTTCGGGATTGGTCTTAATGCTTGAAGGGTTGGCAAGTACATTTGCGGCGGTACTCCTGGAGCGAGTTGATGAGAAGCTGAAAAAAATAATTGTAAAAAATCCGCAAGAAAAATTGATACAATAAATAATGTATTTCTAATGTTGTTCTCACCTTGTTCTCGCGCTCCAGCTTATCATTGTGAGAGCGAAGATCACTGAGCTCCTTCTCGCGCTTCTCTTGGGCCTCCTTGGCCTTCATGCGGCTACGACGAACAGCATCGTTGTTACGCATCCGCTTGATCTTGTAGTTGTTGGTCTCCTTCTCCTGTAAAGGCTACAGATAAGTATTTTATTGATTGTTCAAAGGCCAAACTTTCGGTGATTTAGACAAACCCGCACCTCCTTAGGCTTCAAGTTGTACTTTCTGGCCTTCGTGGTCGGAACGTAGTTCTTGTTCATCGGCGGCTTCGAGGGCTCGGTCATAACAGGATACTTCTGGACGATTTGTGTTCGTGGCACCATCACGGTTCTTGGTTGTCGGGATGTGCCTTGCTCTTCTTCCCAGGGTTCCATCTTCACCTAAGTTGAGAATCATTGACTTCAAAAGAAATTTTACCTTTGCCAATGTGATTGGTGCAGTGTCGATGAGGGGTCCTTGTTGGTGGGAACTGTGGGGAACTTGGCTTTTGAAGATATCGTCCATTGGGTCATCTGAAAATCGTTTTTATCAAAGAACAAAATATTTCCACTTACCACGTAACCGGCCCATCATGGGGTTATTGTGAATTGAATCGAAGACGGCACTCTGTTCCATTTCAAAAGAGGTTTTGGCGAGTTCCGGGTCTTCTTGGAGAGGATCGTCTGTGTACGCTTCTTCGTCACGCAGTTCCTGAAATAATAACATAGCTTGTGGCAAGAACACATAGATTTTTGAACGTTTCAAAAACCAACCTTTAGGTAATTTTCAATGTTGACGTCTGCTTCCATAAACGAGCTCTGGTTGCGCTCCTTGTCTTTCTGCTGGAGTTCAGCGGCGATGGAAAGGGAGTCCTGAAAAGAAAAATATAGATAGACTTGGCTTGGCCTTTCACTTTACAATTCCCAGCTCATGCAATAATGGGTAGACTAGTTCTCACATTTTACAAAGTTAATGTTCCCCCAGATTGCTCACCCCGTAACTGGCATCGGATAGTAGGGATAGGGGCTGTGGCGCATATCAGCGAGGACCATATTCGGGTTCAGGCTTGTGTTGGGTGGGTATTCAAGATGCGAAGTGAGGACTGGGTTTGGGGAATGGTCTGGGATCCAAATTGCGGCTTTTCTATGCCCATGGGGCGGGCTAGGGGCGGACGGGGGGTTGCCCGCCCCGAAGGAGGGGCGGGGCTGGGAACAAAAATATTTTCATCGGACTTCTGAAGGGGGGGACAGGAAAAAGGGCAGATGGAGTACATGTGTACTGTCCACCTCGACAGCCACAATGCTTCGAGAAGGTTTTAGGCCCCTCATGGGTGGGCCATCAACGGGGGGAAAAGGGGGAAAAGAAGGAAAAGAAGGAGGGTGTTTTGGGTCCACGTCCTTCGGGACAGAGATCCCTTTTGCCTATGGACCTAGTAAGTGCTAGGTAGATATTGGGGAGGGCCCTCCGTGATTGTACTTTGTACATGGGTGAGAGGTCAAAGAGGGGATTATCGATAGACAATTGCTGGTTGGGCGGGATTTCTTAAGAGGAAGTTAGTTTAATGATGGGATGGTCAGGTGAGGACGAGTCACGGTATATTAAATATTGCAAAATCGGTAGGGGGTTCAGATAGATCATGCGGTCATTTTGACCGAGGTGACTGGTGAATTTTTAAGGATATTTGGATTTTGCCTATTTTCGAAATATCAAAAATACTATCACTTTTCGTGGAAAGGAAAATGAGCCCGATAAATCCAACAATCCCTGACCAGCTAGCCTTGGAAAATTACGCTTACCTTCACACCCATCGCCAATATGTTAGCAGCGTGGTTGCGTCCGTTGAATCAGACTATTTTTTCCAACCAACGCCGAGGGTCTGGGTGAGGGGCGAGCGAAACGCATGCGCAGCGGCCATACACAAAAGAGTGCAAGCTAAGGGCACGAATTGAGGGGGGCCACCCACCCTCGGCTAGCCTGTAAACAACCCCATCGATTCTCTCGCGCCCCTGAATGCCTCAGCGGCTGCGTCCAAAATAAGATTCAAATGAAGGCCTGGGACAGCTGGGCGCGCAAGAACTATGGGCTGGGGGTGGTAGTCAACAATTTTTTTGCTGCCCTACGGGCTCGCTAAGGTCAGGTGTCTGCTAGGAATCGTGGAGTAGTCGGTCAGGGGGTCTTGTTTTTCGGGCTAGTCAGGTCGAAAAATACCTAGAACATAGGGATAATGAGCTAAAAATCTAACTTGTACATGATCTCGTCTCCCCGGCCGACTTTTAGGAAAAAGTATAACCGTACAATAAAAGCTTCATGTTTTAAAAAAATTCGAACAGGCTAGCATCCCTACCAAAGTCTACCCAACAGGCAGAGTTTAAGCCGAGCCCGTAAATACTGTTCGCCAACCGTAAACAGTACAATAAAATGTGTTGGGACGGGGGCTGGGAGTGGGAGCGAATGTAAAGCTTTTCGGGGAGACGTGGAAAACGTGAAGCATATGATCGATTAGACGTTCGGAAATCGTGTCGAAATCGGCACTCTGCCATTGCCAAGGGGCTTTTAGGGAGGAAGGGGGCGGACTGTTGGAGGAAGATAAACTACACGTGCGCTGGTCTGGTGTCTGCCTTTTGCGCGCTAGAACTTTAGGCGCAAGCTTAAGGTATGGCTAGAAAAAATTAGTTACTAACACGTAAGATGGTTTATAAGACTAAATAAGCACTTTAGAAAAGAAGCTCAAACAAAAGAACAAAAGGGCAAAGACAAAGAGAATTGGGTGAGTCATCGATGTCATATGACCCATCATATACTCCCATTGACCCCGGAACCATGTAAATGTTGTTTTCAATCAAAACGCGCTATTTTTATTGTCGCAGTGATGAGCAATCCGGAAATAATTCATTTGGTTCTTGTTTATTGCTGCCTGCTTTTGAGTTCGCAGTGGGAATTCTCTATTTTTTACGTTTACAATGTTCGCCAAAAATACCGACTTTTCGCAAAGACTACAGATTTAAAAATACAAACCTGACGGCCAAAGGCGCTTCCGTGGAACGTCATCCTGTTTAATTCGGTATAAGTGCCGTCGTCGTCACGGAAGGGTTCGTTTTCCAGGAACTCTTCTTCCTCTTCTTTGCTCTGAAAAAAAAGACATTTATATCGACATTTAGCCATTCCAAATCTGAAAACACGAGATAATTGACCGCGGAACCAGTCAATTGGAGCGGGGTCTTCCTAGATTCTTTTGTTGATTAGATGGAGGGGAGAGGGGACGGGGGCCAAAGTCCGCCAAAAAATGCAAGAAAATCACGGGTGGCCGGAGTCTGGGTCCACTTTTAGCTTTACGAAAATATTCGATGCGGGGGGCTTTGGAGCAGATGCAGTGGGATGAGGTTATGGTGGGGTGGAGATAGATGTAGCGGATAACCGTGTCGCGGGGAAATGGAGTGATGTTTTGTCTGGATATTTTAAGAATCGATGGTCGCGGTGGAGGGGTTGGAGGTTTGTTAGATGTTTATCAAGATCACATGAAGCTGGGGTCTTCGGGGTAGAATTTGGTAGAATTTAACATATTGAAAAACTGAGGAATGCTTTCCAAAATTGTAAAATATTTTCGATACATGTTCCAACAGGTTTTAGCGGCGTAAGACAAATACGAAAGTCGGGTACATCTGACAGCATTCTCGTGATTTATCGATTGGTTTTGGTTTTACTTTTACGAATCTTTGAAAAAGAAAAGTAATTTCTGAAAAACGTTATGGCGTGTTTTTAAAAAGGTAGAAAACACGTTCGAGCCATAATCTAGACTAGTTTATCTACCCTCAAGCTGGAACTTATGAGTTCAAAACACATCACCCTCTCCATTAAAGAAGGTTCTCGCAGGTCACATGACCATTCCACACAAAGCCACGTCATCTCAAAACACTCGCATATAGTCAACCAACGAGAGAATGGGGGGATGACTAGGGAGAGGCGCCCCGCGGCCGACCGACGGTCCCCCGAATTTTCGGGGGAAAATCGAAACATCTGGATCAGTCACATGACTTACCATGATGAGGCGATCGTCGCCGATCACGTAGATGTCTTGTTGCGGATACAGTTTGATAGCTAGTAAAGCCTCGAAGGCTTTTAGTTCGGGTTGAATAAGTAACAGGTAGTTATACGGAGTAGGAGTGGAAGGTGGTGTGTTTGGGGGTATGGGGTGGGTTACGAAATAGATTTGGGAGGCTGAGTCACGTCGGCTCCACCCCCTTTATGAGCTCCCTTCCCCTCTGCCCGTCTTCTTTTCTGTGTGTCCACCCGAAAAGATCGATGGGTGCTGACGCCATCATCACGCCGCGAGACCGCCCCGCAGCTCTCCCCAACCAGCCAACCCGAATTTTCGGGAAGTCACCGTCTCTCTGGGTGGTCTCAGAGGATCAGTGAAAATTAGCATAGTGGCTTAGAAGTCATAATAAAGTAGCAACTACTACTTTCACAAAATAATTTGTGTTTAAGAAAAGTCCGAATGGCAAAAACGGTGGAACGGGAATAGTCTGTATAAATAGAACAAAAAACATGAATAAATAGGCTAGTAAAGAATGATATATTGTGATATAGATGATGAACCTTCAGACCCGCAAAAATTTTGGAGGAAATTGGGGCAGATGGCCCGGAAAAGAGGTCATTTCCGCATCAATATGCCCTCGGGATATGTTAATTGCCGCTGACATTAAGACCGCAGAAAAGTAGGCAAATATTTTACTACCGGCCGTGATGTGATTTAAGGAATTTTTATCGGGATAAACTTAAAATGAAATACGGCTAGACTAGCGCCTAGAATAAATTAAGGATACTTGCTCAAAAATATGAGGTCCGGATAAATTTGCACCGGCCAAGCGACTGGAATAAGAGCATCGAAAACGAAGAACCATCTGGACAAATTAAAACAATCACAAAAATCGTGTCGAGATTTCCAGCACGAATCAGGGAGACACAGCTAAAAGCTGGATGACCGTAATATACACAAAATTATGGGCGGAAATTGGGTGCGGAAAGGCGAGGTAAACGGAAGGAGGAGGAGGAGCCCTTCGAGGAAGAGCGCGAAAAATGAATGCTTATCACCTGGGCAAACGACGGTATTTCCTTGCAAAAGGGTATGGGCTGAGGACCGGGGTCGCCACGTCAAACTTTGTATCTATGCGCCAGCCGGTCTGAATCAGAGGTGGTCACAAAATAAAAAGCATGGCGATCAGCTGGGTGCATTACCATATCCCTCCCAGTGTTTTCACATAATAAAATGGGTCTTTTTATTTGCGCTCCCGCGGGGTTATTGGACCGTAAGAATTTGAACAAAAGAGCAAGAATTAGGAGAGGGTAGGTGGGTGGGATAAACTTGCTTGGCTTGCCGCGGCGACAAGTTTACGTGCTGTAAAAGGACAATAGACTGGGCTGATGTGAGGCGGCCGGTGGACAGTTCAATACTTTCAAATAGCATCATTTTCCCATGCACTAAAAATACCCTCTCCAATACACGCAAAGGACAGGGATGCCGCTGCTCAGCGGAGGGTTGTTTGCCAAGGTTTTTGGGTAGCTGGGAATGGTGTAAAATATGTGGGTCATAATACGAATTCCCATCCAATGATGCACCAGGGTATGCTTTTTAGCATAGTCATCACCTCGATGGAGGGAATTTTTTGGGTGTCTGCCGCTCAAAAAGCCACAGCCACAACGCCCACAAGCACAAAGCACAAAGCAGAAGAATGGGGATTCTGACCCGGGTACGGTATTGGATTAGAAAAGAATGTTTCTAAAATTAAATCTGACTATTTTGGGCATTCCAAATCCGGAAATCTAATTTTCAAAATTGTATGGTCAGATGTGATGATCTGATTTGAATCTGGGACGTCTTGTCTTAATCATACAAATCGATCTGGCCCGAATAAAGAAAAAAAAATTGATGGTTCAAGCAGTCTGGCTGATCTGAACAATCGCAATAATCCAGCGACTTTCCCAAACCGACTAAATAATAGGATTATTCAGAACCAAAGCCACCTGCTTTGAACAGAATTTCCCATATGCAAATAAGAAGATAGCTTTTAACTAGATAAGAACAACTCTATATAACACAAAGGTCTAGCGAGTCCTCCCCTCCTATCAGATCGAGGACATCCACAAGGAGTGACCTTGACACAACTTGCAAAGGAGGGCAAGAACAATCCCTTCCACGTCTATATCGCCTATCCGACTTATCCATAACGTTTTTTAACATTTTTTTTTTGCCAGTTGCTCTTTTTCCTTTTGGGGGTCTATGCTGTTAGGGGCATCCCACCACCTAGTTACGTTAAGATCGGTAGCACTTTTTGGTCAGTTTTTTGTCAACATGGATATATGTGTGTCTGTGGGGCTCGAGTCTAGTGGTGGGGTTGAGCGGGCAAGTGATGTTTTTGGGGACAATGGAAAAGTAAGGTGAAAGTTATTAGTGATTTTATGAAATACTATCTGGACTGTTCTCTGAATTATTAATATCAGAAAAATTATCTAGAAAGTGGCTGTCATTAAAACTAACTACTCCCATGGTTCTTTAAAAACCATGCGCCATTAATGCGTCAAATATATGATATATATGTGGAATATCTATACTTTTCTAAATATGAATTGTGTAATTCTCCCAATTTGAATTTTACTTCTTCAATGTCGATTCGCAACTGCCAAATTCAAATCCGGTTCCGATTAAAAAAACCATATATCTATTTAAAATGCCTATAATTTTCCGTCCAGGAACTACTTGGTTTCCGCAATTCGGATTTTTTCAAGGCAAATTTTTCACTTCTAACTTTACATATCTCCAAATAACAACTGATCATCGTCCATCACCCATGTTTTTCGATCCTCCACATCTTACTGTACAACCCATCACCCAGATAAAACTAGCTTCTGTGAATAGCACTTTTAATGTACTCTTTTGGCGCTTCGTTTTTGGGGGGGGAGATGGCCGGATGGATAATGGGATGACGTAGCCCCGACAAAAGAGGGTGGGGTTAGAAGGTGTTGTTGATATTTTGGGGGGTGTGCTGCCCAGCTGGCCCGGGCCTGTTTACGTAAATGTGGACAGGAAGGAGGAAGAAGAAAAAAGAAGGGGGCTCCGTCTCTATGTGTATGTGTGTGTATGCGCTATTTTGTGGACATGGGTTACCCCCACAGCCACCATCGGTGGGTCCCGTGGAGGCGCCACACCGCTTCTCAAGAGACCCCCGCCGCCCAACGTTTGAGGATAGGAATCCCCCCTCCGATACTTTGAACAGCTGATTAAAAGGGCACTTTTTAGGGGCAGGGGTTGATGCACTTGGTGCACTTGCTAGATGCTAAAGACGTGAGCCTTTCAAAAACAATATGGGGAGGGGGTTAGAAGTGGCGCCTAAGGCGAGAAAAATATCAATATTTTGGGGGAAAATATTTTTTAAGGTTTAGAAGATAGAATAGAATCTAGGGAGCACTTTTTAGGTCATCAAGCGCGAGTCATATAAATTAGGTGCATCAGTAATACAGTATTTAGGAAATACTCGTCAAACTATTTGAGTTTTGTAGGTGTTCAGGGTCTATAAAAACAACCCTTAATCAAAGAAGCCTAAATTATGCAAATAATTCCATTAAATAGATGTTAAGGTCATCTTTCCAATTAACCTTCATTTACTTCTAAGAAATAGATTACCTAAATTAATATTTTAAACCCGACTTCGTTTATTTTAAGCAAGCACTACGCAACTCGAGGAATTCAAGAATCTTAAAACCTACGACATTCAGAAGACCGTTAAAAACTAAATTTTAAACCTGACCGCAATTATTCTCAAATAAACACTACGTGCTTAAAACCCTCAACTTAGTTGTGACTTTCGATAAGACAACAACATCACCCGGCCAGTCTAAATCTGACCATGGGGTGGTGTGTGGTTTTGCCGACGCAATTTTTCGTTTTCTACATGCCAATCGAAGCTCATTCCTTTTAGCTTAGGTGTAAATTCCGGCTTGATCTCTTACCAGGAAGATTATTTGAGTCTCTCTCCTTGTGGCCGGACACCGGTTGCCTAAGGGTCACATGGGACGCTCGTTTCCTGATATGGAACCAGGGTAATGTGCATATGCCTCCCGTAGATACGTTCGAAGCTTTTGGGGGGACCGAAGGGGTGACGATTGTTGAAAAACGCATCAGAATGGTGACGCAGTCCACCGACAGGTCGGCGCTGCTCCAAAATATCGGTGCCGATAAGGGGTGGTAAGGATTGGTAGCTTGTAAAACGCAGGTATCAAAATGGCTTGTGACTGGGGTTTAATGAAAAAGTATGGGATCCTTTTGGAGGGAACTCTTTCTTGGTCGAATAAATTTCAATTATTAATTTGCCTTTTCTGAGGTTGCTAACCGCTTTAAAAGCCATATTTGTTTCAATAATATAAAAAATTCTAAAAGTTCTAGAGAATTTTATCAGCCCACTTTTCTTTACTTTAATCGCATAAAAGCAAAAATCTTCAAGGATTATATAAAATCTATTTTTAGAGTTGTTCCGGGAAAACCGGGGGAAACTGACACTTGACAAACTTTAGAAATTTTCGAAATTCTGCCGTAGTTCCCTCAGCCACCTTACATACCTCATTCCCGATAAGCCGAAGTGGCTCGGATGCCAGTTGTAAATAACTTATTCCAAATAGTCGTGGAACTGTAATCCTAGAGACGAGTTTGTTTACAAAATATACAGCGTTCAATCCCCGGGAACAAAGCCGGCCCGGTGACCAGATTACGCCAAACCCCCGTGTTATGGACAATTTTTGATGAACGGAAAGAAAAAAGGGTGGCGTGGTTTCCGAGGGATCAAGCACTTAGTAGATAAGCCTTCTATAAAATTGTCTTTGGAAGAGCCAGTTTTCTGGGTGAGAAATGGATTATCCAGGGCAAGCCCCAAGCATGAAGATCAACAACGAAAACCGGGAGAAACTATTGGCCGGAACTCGACGCTGGTACGACAAACAGGCCGAGCTGGCCTGATATATCCTATAAAGCAATACAATTTTTTTAGAAGGTCTATTCGATGCGGTTGTCTTCAGAGAAATTGTACAAGCAGCTGTTGAGCGAAAATATGCTATATTGACTGGGACCGGTGGAAATTTATAAGAAGTGAAGATGTGCAGAGGAATTTTGATGATTTGCCGGTATTTGAGCGTGCAAAGACCGACGTCTTGGACAGGTGATTGATTTGAGAAAGAAATATACTTTTACAAAAAGGCAAAATTGGTTTGACTCTTTGGGTTGGGCAAAAAAGCAGGGCAGAGCGCTTGGCGCTATACGTCGAAAAGGAATATCCGTAAAGTTATTTGTACACGATCCGCTTTTAGATTAGTGGTGATCAAACTCAATGGAGCCCCCGTACCACAATGGGTTGTAAAAACGCAAAGCTTCATCGAAGTGAAGGACAGGCACTCGTTCCTCGACTTGGCGATTGCACAAAACGAGGTAACCACTTGCACAAAGGGATTCGGGGAGGGGCCAGCCGAGGAATATAGGACGTTCATAAAACAAATATGACAATTAAAGACTGTTTGACCAAAAATAACCAAAAAATTGGTGGAATTTAACCTTTACAGGCTTTCAACAAAAATACAATGCCAAAATACCGTTGCTGTTGATGGACTCCTTCAATACTTTGCTGATACTAGAGAAAAGATTATCATAATTTTGCCTATCATGATTTGTATTAAACATTTTAGCTTCAAGGTCGTAACCGTGAGACAAAGTTCGAACAGAGTCGTTGCCCTAGGGTATATTCAGACACTTTCCCTGCCAGTGGAGGAGGAAGCGGAACGGTAATAAAATCAATTTTAGACTTTCAAATGAGTTGATTTTTAGATGGTACCCGCCTGGCCATGGAAACATCTTTGCTTCGTGGAGATTTTCCGGGGAATTGGATCGGTTGTTGGCCGAGGGTCGCGATATACTATTTGTTTCGAATATCGGATAATACTGGTGCGGTGATTGCAGCCGCAGTTGCTCAGTGGATTTTAGAAGTTTTTACCGGAAGGCGTAGCTGTTAACTTTATCTCTACCGCTAGACATCTTCCTTACAAGTGTATAGCATTCCATAAAAACGAGATGTTATCAAACATACCTCCGCAACTAATCCCCTTCCAGTTTTTTTCCGAAAGTGGCGCTGGTATCGATGGAATGTACTCAAAAACGCAAGGATATTAAGGTAGTTCCCACCTTTTGTTAGTACACCCAAAATTGTTGTAGGGAGGAACATTGATCGAAATCGGCAGCCACCAATGCATTGGAAATCCCGCAAGTGCCTCCAGAGCACCTCGATGACTTTGTAGCATAAAAGTTTTCAAGTTGGTCGTAAAAGAATTTTCGAAATCCCGTCTCCTCAGAATCTTCAATACGAACAATATTTGGGTTAATCTGCGGGCTGTGAAGAAAAACTTGGAGCAGATCCGGGTGAAGTCATTGTCAGTAAGAAGGGTATTCCGTTGTGACGAGTCCCGGGAAGGCGCGTTTTAGAAGCTTTCAAACGGACGTGAAGTGATACAACTCGAAACATCCATCGGTGGATCGATTAAGGCTTTTGACCATGCTTGCCTTAGGATTGGCTTTCAAACCGATGTGTATTTTTATTTTAGGCATTCTGTACCGCGATCTCGTTTCTTACCGGTCAAGAAAAACCGATGATTTGCTGGCGCTAAAGCTTCTGACCTTTATGAGTTGCAGCCCGATTTTAGGATTACTAATTCTATTACATCTTTAATCCCAATGCTACCTTAGTTTAAAACTGTCCGTTGACTCCGCTCCATTAATCACATTGCCATCACATTTGCAGTTGGTAAGTTGCCACTGCATGAAAACTTTTATTAAGCGATAGAAAAAAATACAAGCAATTTCAGTTGAGCGGATTTCGGATACATTCCCGGAATACCCAAAGATGCGCGAATTACGATCGCTTATCTGTGGAAGGGGACGTTTGTTTGGGAGCTGACGTCACACTAAAAGGTAGGCCCAGGCTCACGAAAAAAATAGGAAGGAATATTTTAGGGGAATGTACAAATCAAAGCGGAACCGGGCGCGAAGTTGATTGTTCCACGAGGTGCAACCATTGATGAACAAGTCTATACCGGGAAATAAACATTGGATGAATAGGAATAAAAGGGTTGAATAAATTGTTAGAGATTTTTACACATTTAAGTTGTAATGCGGAGGTATCCGGCATACCAAATGGTAATCAAAGTATAGGTTTCCGTTCACAAGGGTTACAGTGCGGCCCTCAGCCTGGAATAAATATTTTTGAAGAAACAACAATAAGCATGCATTTGTTTTATACTTCAACATACCTTTGCCTTTCTAATTTGCGCAAGTAATGACGGTATATCCGGAGCATCAGGATGAGGTGATGCTCCAACGAGGACCCCTACTTGCTGCATCATCATCGCCACACCCATACCGACTCCGCGTGGTGATTGCTCCCTAAATATACAATTTAAATTTTAATAACATCCATAAACCAATGTTTGTTAATTTTTTATAAAAGTTTACTGAACAAAAGCGTTCTATGGTTAATACTACTATCACAGAACCAAATTATTTCCTATCACTCACGCTCCAACGTCCATACTCGATAGCAGAATTAGCCTAAAAATCCTTGCACTAACCAATACTTATTGATTCTGGCTTGCTGATCCCCTTACCTTCTCTTTTTCTCAGCTAACAGCTCCTCATCCCGCGTTCATCGCTTGACATACAACAACCCATCTCGTCGCTCTCAAGTCATCATCACTTTCCGTTTTTTTTTCTGAAAATGAAAGTTGAACTATTTATGTCATTTGACAAACTAGAAAAAATTCATAGGCCAAGAATCAAACATTAATGGCCCAGTTATGCAGATTGTTTATGAAAATTGGCAGCACCGAATTAGCGGCTTGCGGATGGAAAGCATGGGGAATTGAGGGCCGCCATTGGCCCACCAAAATGGGCCACAAACGCCTCCACAAATCTTGGAATCCAACGAGGGGTTCAGAGAATTGGGCCCTTAGCGGGGGTAGACACCTTTTCATGGCCCTCTATTCAGGTCTGCTTGAAGAAAGGAAAAAAAACCCTTGCTCCTCCCTCGGTTGGCTTCGCTTCGAAGAGGTCATTCGTCATGGAACCTTTCCAAGAAAGAGATCCGGAATTTAAATCAGAGGCGTCGTAGAATTCAGGGGCGTTCCATTAGAATTTGAGGTTAACAGGCTGGATTGGAATCTGAGGGCGATGGCTCGGAAATCTTTTATTTTTAGAGGACAGCTGAAAATTAATGAAACGGATAGAAAGAATTGACTAATCAAACAGCTACCACTAAATTTAATAAAAAACATAGTTAAAAATTAAATACATTGTATGGTAAACATAGCATATAGAATATTATTTACGTAATTATTAATAGAACTTTTATACGCTACGGGTCAAAGTTGACCTTAGAATCTGGAATGGACATGCAATAAAATAAAAAAAATTTTTTAAGCTCCCTATCCTTTTCAGAGAACCCCATATCCCATAATTGGATGCTATGAAATGATCTACCCTCCACAACCCATTTCTCAAAAACCTTTTATCCCCCTCTTCCCTCCATCCCACCATCACCCCTTTTTACCAGTGCCGTGTTGGCGTCCACTTGAAGTATATTTTGGGGTGCACAAAGCGTGCGTAAGATTTTCGAACTCTTATGACCCTACCCCCCATCCCCCTTTATTTGCATTGGCAGCCACCCCCTAAAAGGGCAAATTTTCTCGGAAGTGAAGCTGATGGGATTGGCAACGCATGGCAACTAGTATCAAAATGTTGAAGTTCCGGAAAAGGAGACGTCGAGCGGGATTAGAAACTGGGTTGGGTGGCATTGGAGCGGAAGGAAAGCTATGTTCTTTCATTTGCGTGGGCATAAATTAGGAAGGAGGACCGAGGGAAGGAAGGGGGAAACGGCGACACTTCGCGAACGGAGGATACGGAAAAAAAATAGGTTCAAGCGCTTGGAGTTAAGAGATGAATTTTTGGAGATTTAGAGGTGAACTGGGCAGACACGGGATTGCACAACTGATCAGATTTAAGGAGATATGCAGGTAAATGGATTGAGGTAGGTTATTGAGGAAGATTCATGGCAAAGTGGAAGGGTTGAATTAAAAACTAGAATTGAAAAATTGTTGTAATTAACGGTTTAATCAAGGCTCTCTGGTGAAATATTTGTAGGTGCATCGTTCAGGGGTCTGCGCTCTATCTTATTAGTTCAGTGTAGATTTGCCGTACCCGATCAAATTTAAATAGAAGAAAAAGCTACATCAGCTAAGACGAGATATTCGGTAACTGAAGCCCTCGAAAAGCTTAAGCCCGCTGCATCCCCCTTTATATGACACCCTATCAGGAAGTAAATGGCCCGATGGGACTGTGGAATAGATGGAAGTCAAAAGAGCAAAGCCACACCCTTCCCCCTTTCTGAAAGATGTTGATGCTGAGGTGAGGATGGAGAGGAGGTGGGGGACACTGATAGAATTTCTACGAAGCGAATCAATTGGCCGCGAAGAGCTCTTCCTTAGCCAGAGCCCCCAAGAGATGCGCGACCCGAATTTATTGAATTCGAGGGAGGGTGAGGAAAGCCGGCATCAGATTTTGCGAATACCTTGCATTTTGAGGAAGGGACGGGTGGGTGGCCGTGTAGATGTCGTGTAGAGAAGGGGGAGATGTGGGTTCCGGAAACGTGCCATCACCACACAAAAATGGGTAGCAATTATCTGTAGCGCGAGGTTGACGTTTTTCGCTTTTCATATCCAGATATATGGCAGACAAAACGCACGTTACAATAATAATCGCTTTCGACGCCGATTAGCCTTGTAAAAAAAATGCTAAGCATTAATTAAATGACCCTTTATTGGAATTTTGATGCAAATTTAATAACGAAGCATAACATTTTATTTGGAGGAAAACGATGACAGACGAGTTTGAACGCAAATATATATAAAATTTAACGATAAGCAGTGCTGGTTCCTTGAAATACGGTAGTGGTCTATTCTGAAAAAAAAGATGAATCTGTTGTACCAAAATTTTTGTTGCTCATTTTGCCCTTAAAAAGGTTAATTTTCCAAACGTTTTTTGGCTTTTCCAAAAGCTTCGTTTTAAATTGGCGCACTTTCATTAGTGTACTGATCTAGATAAGCATCTATTGTTCTCCAATTTTGAATCAACCCAATATCTCTGATCAATCGCGTATGCTGGAGGGCAAGTTGAGGCTATAGACTACAGTATTTACCACCTCTCCCGTTCCTTTTCCAACCGTGCTCTCTGTCTGGGTCACCGATCCACAACTCCCCCTTGGGGGCAAAGTCTGCTGCTCACCGCTGTCCTCTCCTTATCGTTCTTTTCCCATCATTCTTTCTCTCTTTCTCACTCTCTTTCTCGATCTCATTCAATCTATCAATTCCTCTCGTAGCGCTAAAGGCTTGTTGGAACGTTTCCGCGACAAAACAACTGACAGCGACGCGATTCCATATAGTTACTACCAAGATTTCTAGCCAACCTACAGCCGCTTTGGGTCTTTTGGGGAGCTGGGAGCCGAAAAACTGTGCTCAGGCTGGATTCCACGTGGTTCTTATCATGACAACTGACCTGCTTTTACGCGGCAAAAATTTGGACTTTAACCCCATTCTCGTTTCACATCTTCCTTCAAGCCATTCAATTATTTTGTAAAGCCACTTTTATAGGCGATGTTGAGTCGGGTCGGCATTTTGAGATCCGCGGTAGCCCCGCGCTTCAGCGCCCGCAGTCTCAATTTTGGGTAAGCCCAGCTTTGGCGGTAAATTTTGGATTGTTCAGATTTCACCGATGACCAAAAAGAATTACAAGCTACTGCACGCAAATTTGCGCAGGAAGAGATTGTGCCGGTGGCTGCTAAATATGACAAGTCAATGGAATATCCCTGGGATATTATCAAGAAAGCGCATGCTTTGGGATTTGTGAATGCCACCGTACCCCAAGAGCTTGGTGGGTTTGAAAAGTTTCGAACCTAATAAGAGTGAGAATTTTTTAACCAATTTTATTCATTTCTAGGCGGCTTGGGATTGAGCGCTGTCGCTTCATCGCTTGTCATTGAAGCCCTGGCGTATGGCTGCACCGGAATAACCACAGCCGTGTTGACCAATGAACTTGCTGAGACCCCTTTGATTATTGCGGCTAATGATGACATCAAGAAACGATTCCTGGGTCGAATGCTGGAGGAGCCGCTAGTAGCTGTAAGTTTACATTTTTAAGCTACAAGCCCATAGCTTAAATTTTGAACTACAGTAATCTAAAACTGATGCTTTTTAGTCTTACGCAGTCACCGAGCCAATTGCTGGGTCCGATGTGGCTGGAATCAAGACAAAATGTGTTAAGAAAGGTATAGAAATTCATATTCGTTTTTGCATTGTTTTTAGGCGACGAATATATTCTCAACGGAAGCAAGATGTGGATTACCAATTCTGGACATGCGAACTGGTAAGAAATAATTTAAATTCAAGAATTTGCGTCGTTGTTAGGTACTTCGTCTTGGCACGCTCTGACCCTGACCCGAAGACCCCAGCCAGCAGGGCATTCACAGCTTTTGCTGTAGAGGGAGATAGTCAGGGAATTATTCGCGGAAAGAAGGGTTGGTTGAGTCGAGTCTTTTTGTAGTTCTTTTTAGAAATTAACATGGGACAGAGATGTTCGGATACTCGCGGTATCACTTTTGAGGATGTGCGAGTCCCGGCTGCGAATGTTGTTGGAGAACCTGGAAAAGGATTTGTGGTGGGTTATCAGTAGTATTATACCCATAATAATAATTTTTATACAACGCTAAGATAATTGAATAATCATTTTAGGTTGCCATGAAAACTTTCGACAAGACTCGGCCAATGGTTGCCGCGATGGCTTGTGGCTTGGCTGCGCGGTAAGAACAAGTTCAAGTTCAGTATTTTGCTCTTTTAGCTGCTTAGATGAAGCCGCGAAATACTCACTGGAACGAAAAGCCTTTGGAACTCAGATTGCAAACTTCCAGGTAAATTTCATACTGATTTTTTAATGAATTTTTTTAGGCTGTCAGCTTCATGCTCGCCGATATGGCAATCCATTTGGAACTCTCCAAATTGATGACCTACCGTAGTGCATATGAGGTTGACCAGGAGCGTCCGGGTGCTTACTATGCCTCAATTGCCAAGGCTTTTGCCGCTGACACCCTAAATAAGACAGCTTCCGATGCTGTTCAGGCAAGTCTAGCTATATCTTCCCAAAACGGTATTTAGGTCTTCGGCGGAGCCGGTTTCAATACGGAATACCCGGTCGAAAAATTGATGCGCGATTCGAAAATCTTCCAAATTTACGAGGGAACTTCACAGGTCCAACGGCTCGTCATTGGTCGTCAGTTGCTCAGCCGTGTCAAGGAGAACGGATTCTACTAGAAGCGCATTATCTTCTCTGTATAAATAAATATATATACTTGATTTCTGGTGTGGGCTGCCAAACGGGTTTTTACCCTTTTATTAAAAAGATTTGGGATGTAATTTTATTCAAACGTTACAGATGCTTTCTTTAAAAGTTCTCCGCCAGCCTGCCCTCCGGAATTTGGCCGCCAGTTCCAGGAATCTGTCTTTTGGTAGGGGTTTTCGGAGCTTGCTAAGGTTGCAATTTTTAGATCTGACCGATCAACAAAGAGAAATTCAAGCAGCTGCCTTGAAGTTTTCCAAGGATAAGCTTGTGCCGGTTGCTAAGAAGTATGACGAAGTGGGTTCCGCTTTAACCAAACAATTAAAATAAATTTAGTCTGGTGAGTTCCCCTGGGATATCATAAAGGAAGCGCATTCGCTTGGTTTGATGAACCCCCAGATTCCGGAGAAATACGGTAGGATTTTGAGTTTTCTTAGTTGAAATATTTTTCTAGGCGGTCCCGGCTTGACCACCATGGAAACGGCCCTGATCGTCGAGGCTCTGAGCTATGGATGTACTGGCCTTCAACTCGGTATTATGGGACCATCCCTCGCTATCGCTCCGGTCTACATTGCCGGAAATGAAGAGCAAAAGAAAAAGTATAACCTAAATCCCACTTCCTTAATCCTTTCTAGATATCTTGGCATGCTGGCTGCCGAGCCACTCATTGCATCCTATTGTGTGACCGAACCAGGCGCCGGATCGGATGTAAATGGTGTCAAAACAAAGGCCGAAAAGAAAGGTAGTCGCTTCTCTGAGGATCCAATCCTTTTTTGCAGGAGACGAATACGTCATCAATGGGAACAAGGCTTGGATTACTGGCGGTGGACACGCACAATGGTTAATTGGATTTGATGTTTGGTTATAGGGTGTTCTTAGGTTTTTCGTGTTGGCGAGGACGGATTCCGATCCGAAGACTCCGGCCGGGAAGGCGTTCACGGCTTTTATCGTTGATGGGGATACGCCAGGGATTATTCGAGGAAAGAAAGGTATCGGTTTAATGTGATGAAAAATGGTTGTTTTATTTAGAAAAGAATTTGGGACAGCGGTGTGCTGATACCAGGACGATCACTTTCGAAGACGTTCGGGTTCCTGTCTGCAATGTTTTGGGCAAACCTGGCGAGGGATTTAAGGTAAATAAATATTAATAATTATTCAAGCTGAAATGTCAGGTCGCTATGGGTGCTTTCGACATGACGCGCCCTGGAGTTGCAGCAGGAGCTTTGGGACTTGCTTGGAGGTTTGTTTCAATGAAAAAAACTACATAAACTAAATTTAGAGCCCTTGATGAATCGGCGAAATATTCTCTAGAGCGAAAGACGTTTGGCACCCAGATTGCCAACCATCAGGTAAATTTTGAATTTTTTCTAAAATTATTTTTGATATAGGCCGTCCAATTCATGCTAGCTGATATGGCCATTAACCTGGAAATGGCGCGATTGGTGACTTACAAAGCAGCAACGGACGTGGATAACCGGGTAATATTTTTAAGTATTGATTTGTTATAAACTTGTTAGGTGCGATCGTCTTACTATGCTTCTATTGCCAAGTGCTTTGCCGCTGATATGGCCAATCAAGCAGCCACTAATGCCGTCCAGGTAAGCCCAATAAAAATTAAAACTAATGAGATTCTTAGATCTTTGGTGGAGCCGGTTTCAATACCGAATATCCGGTAGAGAAGCTCTACCGTGATGCCAAAATTTACCAAATCTACGAGGGCACATCGCAAATTCAGGTGTGTCGCTTCTCCTTTCCCCAAACAATTCATTTCTAGCGCATGGTCATCAGCCGAATGATGTTTGGCCACCTGGCATCCACTGGAACTTGCCGAGTCTAGGGGCGAGAATTGGAAAAAAGCGGTTATCTATGTATATCTTTTAAATAAAATTTGTACTTAATTCTTTCTACGTTGGAAAAACACAACAGCATTTTCAATACAAGATTCGCCTTGTAAGTTGAATGTGGATTTATTCACAAAAATGTTTCATCACCATCACTTAATTTTCGTCTACGTACTGTGCCTGTCGGTTGCCTGCGATCGCAGGGACCTGTACTCCTTCGTTGCCCTAGAAATTAAACATTGGGCTGGTCCTGTATTTCATGCTAATAGCCAAACTAAAGTTCATCGATTTCCATACCTGCGTTGTTTCTGTGGTTTCTTTTTTGAAGAGCCGCGTCTCCCCATAATTGGTAGTTGCGTCTCCGACCGATTTTCTAAAACGGCAACTTATGTCATCGGACGCATTTTAAGAATTTAGGGGTTGCATGCAAATTCGAAAACGGAAACGTGAGTCTGACACGGGACAGCGGATGACAAGCTTTTTCTACGGATGCGAGGTGGATAGAAAAATTTGGAATGTGCTAGAAAAGTAAATTCCAGCATGCTAAACAAGTCAAATTATTTGAATTCGATTTTGTTTTTTCTTTCTTTTCGATTTCTTTCATACCGTTCAATAGGTATTCTTAATTTTCCAAATATATCCTCCCGCGGTACTATGATGTGGCGCGCAAATTAAATTTTTCCAACCCCGAAGAATTTGAACTTAATAACCGCCCAAATATTAGCTGATTGACGATGGAATCGGTGTCCGTTTTTTTCCATTTTCGCGCCGGTCGTCAACACGTTATCGCGGAAATCGTATTAATTTTTAGACCGCAATTATATTTCGGTAAAGCAGCGTTCATAGGTTAGACTACGCCAACCACCCGTACATATCATCTATAATTCCCAAGCCATCAAAGCAATACAATGAATCAATTAGCCAGCTTAACCCGTAAAAACAGTTCCCGTCAATAAAGACCGACATGCCACGGGGAACAGGACAGTATTGTGGGAAAAGACGGAGGACGCATGCTGAGCATTTCGTTAATGCTCGAATAGGACAGCTGGACATTCGGAAATACCGACAAAGAATTGACCTCCACCGACGGTTTCGCTGAAGAATCCCGTCGTTTGCGATAGACTTAAAAACAATTATAAACTCACTGTTTTAGAACATTGCGATTGGGGGCAACAAATATACTGTACGACAGGGCATCAAAACTCAAAATGGCAAAAGATTTCGAGAAATTATGAGTTTAGCATTTTTGAATTTTGATTGTTAAGCTATTATAAAAAAACATTGAGGGCTCGGAAGCTGAAAAACGGCCACGAGAGCTCTGCCAAGAAGCCAGAAGCCACCTGCGCACGTAGAAGCCAGTAGCCCGCTGTATGGCCATGTTGTACGGTTTGACGAAATAGATGGTGATCATTGGGCTAAAAATACAGAGTAATGAATTCTAGATAAAATTTGTAATACCTGAAAGCTGGGTAAAAGGCGAAGAAAACGTAGACAAGATATTCGATGATAGTAACGTTAATAAATTCGAGGTGGTAAAGCCCATAGATGCCAATTGGTGGGAATATCGTACACACTGGTAAGGCAGCTTGGATTGTAAGTGCCTTAAGATGAACCTTATTAGTTTTGTACAATTTTAAAGTACCATTAAAAGTCTTCGATGTCCTTTGACAGTCTGGGATCGTAGTTTCTTAAATAATTCCGGGTTGCTTAAAATGAAAATAACATACCTCTGCATTATTAGACAAAAATCCCTCAACTTTACGATAGAAGTAAACAACTAATACATAAATTGGGAACATTGGCAAAACAATGGTCGCCAGGACAAATGAGGTCATTGGCTAAAGGACGTATGTAAAACGAGCGTATTTTCTTACTTTCTCCAACATATGATTCCCGCTAACAACCAGACCAGTCATGTTATAATGAGGCTTATTAACGGCTAAATAAGCCACAACCTTCTCCGACGGCCATTCAGAGAAGATGAATGATATCTAAAACGCGTAAACTCCGTTAGGATCCAACTTACGTGCTGGAAAATGGCAATGCTCCAAAGACTGAATAACAGCATTAATAAACTTTTAATTTTTGGAACTGGCCGAACTAGAACGTAATACCTAAACGGGCATTAAAAGTTTGCGTATTTCGCCTACCTAAAGCCAAACGATAACGGGAACGACAGGAATGTATAGAAAATCGAATGCAATTGGACACAATATGTTTCGTAGGAAAATTCGGAGCCTAGATATTTGGCCGGTCCTAGCGAGACGTATGCAAATGCCCATTTGTTCGGAATGATTCTAAAAAACGGCATTTAACGTTATACATCATTGATTCATTTTTAAGCTGTATTTCCTCTTGCCTACTCAAAATTACAGAAAAAGAAATCTTGCGTAATAATGACCCACCTGGGCTGGAGCGTTGTTATTGAAAACGAATAGAATAGATCAGTGATGCATTGATTGAGTAGTAAGACTTTATAAACCTAAAAATCTAGAGTTATTAATGTAGCTGCCATGCGCTACCACGCTACGCGGACGGGCGTACTGACATTAGAAATTTATATATAGGAGATCTACAGTACATGTTTTCGAAATTATTTCCCAAGCGCAACCTATTTACGTTCCCCACGCACCCAATTCCCAAAAAAATGTGAATTCAGATGGAATTATACTTGTAACTATGCTCAGTACTAAACTTCCGCTTCTGGCTCAAAATCACATTTGCGATAAAGTGCCTCTTGCACTCAAGGGCTCGCCGTTCTAATCCACTTCCGCGACCAAAATATACCTTTCGGGCTATATAGTTTTCGCCATAGACCCCTAATTTCCAAGAAATTCTAAAAAAATACTCACTTTCAATGATGGTGGACTCTTCTTAATGATCAAGTATAATAGCAGGAGATTGGCTGGGATCCCAATAGAACCCGCGATCCAATAGAATATAGGGAATATAGAATCATAAAGGTCGGTCAGCTTTCGATATTCCATTTGGGTGGCTGTCAGATTGACGAGATGATGTTCGTTGAGAAGGGAAGAGCCGAAGCTCTTTGACAGCAAATCTACCACCATTTAGAATGCCTAAAAGAACTCTTGGCCACGCCTATCCGGAACACACTGATGCAAAAAATAGGAGACGAGACGAAAGGGATGGATGCCCCATCTGGAAAGGGAGAAGGATATATTTTATTCTTTACTTTAGCGATCGCATCCTTATCAATTATTTATATCCACGATCTTTGCTTTTTATAACAAAAAACCTGGGAGGACAAGCACCTTCAAATTGGGATTTGAGCGATCTACAGAATCCTGGATAGGATGAATGCACAAATCGGGGGCGGCACTGAAATGATCAATCCAAAAACGGATTTGACCCGACAGGTGTTGTCTAGAATATTCTGGAGATTCCGGGCACACAGAAGAAGCGGATCAGTACCCAAGCAAAATGGCGTCTGGTCAGCCCACTTCTTATGATTCAACTAGAATGCCGTCAAGGGGGTACTTTCAAAGACTTTGCTCCCTTTCGTAGTAAATGATAGCCAAAACACTTTTAAAGCCAACAATAAGAGCGAAAACAATTTGGGAAAGGAAAAGCTATTAGAACGGAATTGGATGGCAAGGAGGTCATGGACGAGAAAAAGTGTTTTTGGTCTGGGGCCTTAGGCTCCCGGTAGCTGTCGGAATAGTTTAGTGGGGATGGACAAGCTGGGTGGAAGGGTAGAGGGTAGATCGTATCAAGGTGTTCCGAAGTAAAAAAGGGAAAAATTGAAACGGAGGCAACATGGTTCATGGTCAGCTATGTTTTGAAGTGTAAAAGGTAGACCTACCTAAAGAATTGCGCTGGTCTTTTAGTTCATGACTAGCTGCATTCCACGCTAAAAATAGATGTCATAAGCTTCTTAGATACCGAAATTAATGACGCTTTGACGCGTACACATAAAAATATAGGTTATTTTGTGTCTGGATCATGGCTAATGAGGTGTATCTTTAAAATATTTATAAATGCGTCTCATTTTAACCTAAATGGCTTAACCTAAAAGCTCTTTAGTCTGTTCATACTACTCATCCAAACCCATATTGACAAAAAACGGCTCCAGGAGCCAGCCGACAAATATCAAATGCCTCGATTCGGAATAATGCACGAACTTCTATATTATGCAAGTAGGAAAGGGGGTTCCCCTATAGACTTGGAACCAAGAAATCGCCCCCATATCCCTTCGTGGGTGAAAGCGTTCGCGCGGCCAAGCAGAAAAGACTTTTCGGAACTCGATTCCGGGGGCGTGCAAAGTTGACATTGCCCTTGGGCCACATAGACTCAAAAAGAGGGGGCCCAGTCCAGGATATGTCTCCGGACGGCCAAAGAACACGAATCTTTCACCAAAAGTTGAGCCGATTCTGGATGATTGTAGTATGGGCGGCTGGGTACGGTATCAACAGAGCTGCGAATTCTCGATATATATACACGATCTGGGCGCAATCACATTAGTGCCCCGATCAAATTGGTAGCTGGCGGGGGGGGGGACAGCCCAATCCCCCCTCTCTTCGGCTAGGGCCCAGCCAATTTTCTGGCCGTAATAAGGGTTGATAGTGTGAAAAAGACCATTACTTTTTGGTGGTGGAGTAAGTAGATGGTCATTTGAGTCTGAGCTAGGACGTGTTGCTAAATCATGTAGTTAATGAAGGCACCTCCATCCTAATAGAATATATTATAGTAATTCTAATCTACAAATATAAAACTTGTCATAATAGTAACCGTCACCCTAACAATTGTAATAATTCTATTTCTAGCTTTGAATGGCTATTTTTTGAAAACAATGTATTTTTCCAAAAATTATCAAAAGGCTCTGTAATCCAAAGAGGATCATGTTCCGCTCTCGAAAAACGTGGAACAGGAAATGGCGCCTAACTAATCCGGAAACTTAGCATAACAAGGTTTTTTTTAAAAATGCCCTCTGAACAATATTTTATACTCAAATGTCGATACTTTCACGACAATTTCACTGCACCCAAAAATTAGCACAAAACTCCGAAAAATTCCAGCGGCTCCAGAAATGAGGTGCAAAATTGGATGTATGTCGCAACGGGGCGTGTGGACAACATGGTGGGGTGGCTCAAGGAGGATCAGAATCGTAGATTGCCTGCCCCCATCCTTTCTTTAAAGGCATTAGCAAGGCATCAGTGGGAGAAAATGGATAGCTCTCCTCGCCAAAAGATGTAGGGGGTAAAAGAGGGGAATGTGATGATGGTCTTCCCCTCTCAGCATTCCGCAAAAACGGACTCAACGTTAAAAAGTGCGGTAATTACCTCCGTTTCGAGAAGAGCTGCCGGGGGAATGAAAAGGGTAGATGGGACGGAGGCCTTAAGGACTTTGTGCTAGGTGATCACACGTCTATTTAGCGCAATGTTTGTTTATCTTTGAGCCTGGACCCTGACGAATGTCTGAAGGGAAGCGAGAAGAAGACCAAAATTGGAATTTTTGCGAAAATTTCTTGGAATTCTGTCAAAAGAGCAGGATGTTTCACGGGGTTTGAACAAGACTTTTCAATTAGAAAAATCCCAAATGATCAAGGTTAAAAAATTCGCTAAGTTCGATATAATATCGAAAAATTTAACAAGAATGAGCTTCAACTGCTTAGCTTGCGCTATGGTAGTCGGACTTAAACGCTTATTTAGCGTAAATGTCTATAACCGCAATTTTTTCAAAACCAACCGCGATTGACCGTTAAATCCCATACTCTCTTCTCATTCAATAAAACCTTCGCCATAGCCCAAAGGGCTTTCAAATTATACTGAAGCTCTTTTCCCTCCGACCCAAAAATAGTCAATGGATAACTGTTTACCCATGGCTAAACCTTATTAAACTTCACGATCAGTGCCATGAACTCATGGCTTCCGGGAATTGACCGGAAGAGACATTAAAAGAACCATGTCAATGAAGCCAATTTCTAATGGATACGCCCAACGGCTGCTGTGTTATTCCGTCGTCCCTCTATTCGTGCTATGCACTCTGGGCCCTTATTTTTAAGTACCATGCAAAAAGCGCTCAGCTGTTCTAAAAAAGTGTCAGACGTTCCAGTTGCATTTCCTGTGAGCACTTTAGTGGTACTAGGTGTTTGAAGGAGGGAACATGCTACAGAGTTCAATTTCCAAAAACTATCGGAACTTGTTGCAAAGAACCGACGTGGATTTAATTGGAATCGTTGGTTGCGAGGTTGAGGGGGGCAATGTTTGAATGCGGATGGGGAGGCACCTAAATCTGATCCCGAAAAGTTAATGAGAATTTGATGGTCGACAGATAGTAGTTCGGGAAGCAAAAGAAGGTACTAAGAACCTTGGGTTCTCTTTTAGACCTCGAAAATGCAACTTTTTGGTTTGAAGCGCAATTTCCGTGCAGAACTACAAATTCCCACGTCAAAATCCACTGAGATTCCCAGCAACGAGTATCAGAACTAACAAGTCATGAGTCGGTGTTGTTGCGTTTATTATAACCAGACGGAAGCGACATAGCGGAAAGTGCCAAAAAATGCCTATTAGTGTAAAATGGGTTCCACCATGCGAGGAAATAGAAACGTCGGGGGAACAACTCACTAAAAGGTTTTCTTGGGGCCAGAAGTCGGAAAGCAAAATTCTTCAAGCCCGGAAATATTCTGCTTGCTAATTTTACGGACAGTGGAAGCGGCAAATAGCGGAACGCTTTTTGCTAAAAACAGCTATTATCCAGCAGTGGAATAATTGCGTGGAGACCAGGATCGATCAGGAATTAATCCGATTGGGGAAAAGGATTTCTGGAATAGTCGCCGACCGGGCATCGGATAACTTTTTGAGAGGATCTCATATGGCTTTTGAATATTTTATTAGAAGGCAAAGGAGTCAGTTTTAAGGGACCGACTGGAAGGTATGGGGAAAATATTATTCTATGATGAATAGAAAAAATTCTAACGCCTAATTTTTTTGGCAGACTGAATGGATCTGGTCGGCTCAAAAAGCGCGCGACCTCCATGTGTGGTCCCCCTGTTTCAGTCAAGGCAAAGCAGAAGAAGAAGACAGGGACAGCTTTTCGTGGGATGCCCAAATCGACCCAATTAATTAGGGAAATATCTTTTTGCAGGGCATCCGGAGGGCACTTCGCCGGAACCCCCGGCGCACACCCCGGCACATCATACCATCTAATGGAATTCGGAGGCGGGGGTGAGGTATAGAAGGGGAGTTGGACCTGAGGTTGGTCATTTGAAAAACCGGGAAAAACTACGTACAGTATGTGTTAGAATATTGACGATATCGGTTCGTCAGGGAAAAAAGATTTTTCTGGCTTGAAACGGAAAAATAGATATTTTTGTGAAATTTTGTTTCTGCTGCAAAATTTTTGCATTCAAAACCCAGGTCCTGAGGTGGATTGGGCCCTGGCTGACCATCTGAAAAACCGCGCGAAAAAGTAGCTTTCATATGTATACCATTGGACATAGGGGTTTTTACAGGCCTCTCTGAATTTTAAAATTCTTGTTATCCTTCCACTACAAATTTTGCGCCCAAAATACAAAGCAATCTTTGAAACTCTCTAATAAGGGGCCCTATACTGAACTCTTGTTGTGCTTCGACCTCCAATAACCTGGATTTTCTTGGAAATGTGCAACTTGATCTTGACGACTGCTGTTGCGGGGAATTAACGGCGAATCGGGGGTGTCGATTAGGAGGTAATGGAATTGGCGGCTTTTCTGATAGTTTTCTGGTCGTTGGCTAGGATTGGAAACTAACTTAATTCTCGGTGGTACGGGGAGCGGATTGTATAAAGTGCTAGATACTTAAGATTCAAAACTAAAACTGATGACAACTTTTATGGTTTCACTGAGCCGCCATATCAGCGCTGACATGGGCATTAATATATCAAAAATTCTGGTCACGCCGACGCCGATGAAAAACATGCAAACCTTGCGGGCAGTTTTTCTAAAAATATCAAAGAACGCTGCTTGGATTTTTGCTGTGGATAGTGAGTAGACTATCTCACCGTTATTCGCTCTGCAATAATTGGAAGATGCAATTGGAATTTTAATTAACCTTATTAACTTTTACATAGT